TATAATAAGGCCTTCCGCAAAAGAAATTTTTTCATTTCGAGTAATGAGTAACGCAAAGACTTTTAAAACAGAACTTACACTGTTTTCACTGTTATTTCTAAAACATAAGATTTTTTTGTGGAATAAGTTTTAATTTAGTTGCTTACACAAGTAACATGAGAACCAATATAAGGAAATGAAAGCTAATTTAAAATCATTTAATTAATTCCAGACCTAGAAAATTTAGATCATCAGGTACGCTTTCCCTTTTTTTCCCCCGGAATGCAAGTTGTAACTAAATATATTTATAATGCCATTCGGTGAGCTTTGAGGTATATCGTCTACGTAGCGCTTTGTTAACGTATTTATCTTTTTTGTGGTCATATCAATGTGGTAATAAATCGCAGAAATGACACAATTTGAAAGAGTTTAAAATTTCTATACATATAAGAATAGGGCGATCAAATATGAAACAGCCTTTATTGGCTGAATGTTAGGATGCTTATCTGGGTATGATTCAACACTTGAGGTCATTAAGTTGGGTTACTTTGAGTAAGAAATCCAAACCAACCAACTTGTTTAAACCGGCATCTCGTCTACTATCTATCCTCAACAGCGTGTCGATAAAACTTTTCCGCAAATTTTCATTTTCGAGATACTTGAATGGTTGATTTACGCAAAGGGTCTAAGAAGAGCACGGCTTTAAGAAAAGCATTTCATCTCAGTTGAAAAAAATGATGTATTTTCCCTACTTCTGCTCACTATCTAGACTTCTTCAGATGTGGAGGTAAATGGCTTTGAACCATAGGCACTCGGTAATATATAATCCTTGGTCTTGGCCTAGCTAGCCTGAACATTGGTTTTAGCGAATCATGCTTCTGAAGCAACCCTGCAATGCTAAGAGAAAGAGAAGTTTGTTTCTTGGAAAAGTTCCTCCTGGCATCACGAGTCGTTTCGTGATGATCCCATTCGTTGCCCTTAGAAATCTGAGAACCGTGTACCCTCTATTGATAAAATAAAGTAAAAATGTAAAGTTCCTCACCATGAAATGTGAAATTTATCTCAGTTTGAAGATATAATTTGGGAAACATACCCTTTCTTGGTCAAGAGTGAAGATTTGGCGCAATAAATTCAAGCAAGTCTGCGAACGTGTTGCAAATTTATCTTATTCCCGTCGTCCTTTCAGAATGATGATCAAACTGCTAGACGAGTTCACAGTTTTCAGTTGCTTCAAACTCGTTTTGAAGAAGGAAGAGCTTATTTCCATAAAATCGTCACCTATGACTATACATGGGTGCGTCATTACACTCCTTAAACAGGTAGTGAAAGAAGAAAGGCGAAGCAAATCCCATGAACGCTAGAACTCGATTGTATGTGAACAAAATATTATCTATGGTGTTTTGGGACTGAGTGTTTGCATGTTTGGATCCTCAGAGAAGCACTTGGGACGAGCGATTTGAGATCGACGATCAAGTGGACGCATTCGAATGCAGTTAATTAGATAGACAGACTAGCTACCAAATGAGTGAAGGAATGAACAAAGCTACCAAAACGTTGGGGAAAATGTAATATGAAAGAAAAACATTATGTAGAAAAACAATTTGTAAAAATTTAAATCTTTTGTATAACGCAAGTTTTATTTTTTTAGTGGCATCGTATTTATCAACCCTCGTACATAAATTAAAAATAAAATAACTGATTGTTAAAACAGCGTATCATTTCCCAATTTCTTCTTTCAAGTTGGAATATTATTTCAAACAGAGAACTCTTATTTGTTACGATACAAACTGCATTTAAGAAGCCTAAGTACCTTAGTTGGTTATGCATCTTTATAATATGCACCTTAAAACACTGTTTGCTTAGAATACAGGTATGGCATTAGGCATGCTGTCTTATATTCATATCAGGTCCGGGGTTCACATAAGATAACTTTGATGAAATGCTGATAGTTGATAACCAACAATTACCTCAAGGAGACACATATCAATCTCTCTAATATGTGTTTAAGTTAGATACAGGGCTTATGAAACTTTTTCTAGTCCCGACCCTTTTTTATCACTTTCACGACCCTACTACTCTATAATATTTACAAAATTTTGTGGGACCCGATAAGCATTGTGCAAATCCGACACGTGCGTGAATGAAACCGTCAATTTTGTCACTTGTACTGTAATATACCATTGCAGTTTTAGGTCTTTAATTTCTAATTTTAAGACATAGAACAATGTGAAAAATTTTAAATAAATAATACACAAAATGACAGCGTCACGTGCAAAGCAAGTAAAATGAACATTTGTATCATAAAAAGAATGCGTCGAAACGTATTCCTTTTTTTCTTTGTCTGTATTGTCTTATCTTTATCTATTTTCAGATACATTGTGTAAAAGTATTTGGCAATTGTAAAATTATTATAAGTTAAAGAAATATCAAAACTGCTAACATGTTTGGCGACCCACAGTTTAAGAAACTCTAAGTTAGAGCGTCTTGACTGGAGCTGAGATTCAGATGACATTTTGAGTTACGCACCTCCATTTCTTTCGGACATTTGTATACCTTTGCATCTGTAAACTTAGTCTAACTTATGAAAAATTTCTCATACATTGTCTTAGAGAAGCTTCTGTATCTGGTATTGATTCAGAACGCATGAAAGTTTCTTTAAAACATTTTTAATAAAATTTATTATGAGAGCATTTCTTGGGAAGTAGGAAACACTATGCTTTATTCCCAGACAAAATGAAAAATTAATAAATATTTATCACTCTTTCCGAAAGCTCTGGGTATTATGTATAATGCACTATTAATCACTTTCTCCAAAACATATATTTATACAAGCATTTGACTCTTTCACATGTGAATAGAAAAATAAATTTTATTAATAGCCTTGCCTTTAAAACACTTCAGCGAATTGTATTTGCATAAATGAAACTTTCATCTCAAAGTTATAGTAGTTCATTTGTTTAATGGATTTTATTTCCCTGTTAATGTAACCATGATGAGATGATAATTGCAGTAAAACTGTAACAAGTTTTAACTCTTTTGAGAAAAATCTGGTTTGAATCATCTAGTCATCAATTAATTTATAACATTAGTATGTAAGTTAACAGGCTAGGTTTTAAAATTAGGCAGTTACGCAGCCTTTGCTTGGCATAGTAATGAAATTCTGTCTTTGTCGGCGCTTGAATTTATTGAAATCATGGCTTAGTTAATATTCATGAGAACGGAAACATGGAGGGGAAGAACCGAAAGGGTTTAGCCATTTGTTACCAGGAGAAAACGCTTTCCAGCGATGTTACACGGAAACATGGAGGGGAAGAACCGAAAGGGTTTAGCGATTTGTTACCAGGAGAAAACGCTTTCCAGCGATGTTGGGCAGGCAGTTGGTCTTCGTAGTCCTTAGTCTTACGCATATAAAATGTCTAGAACCTGAGCAGGCGTTTACCAGTATAAATTTCAGTATCCTCTACGTCTCTAGAAGAAGGAAAAAATAAGTCCATTTTAGCTAGGCCAAGAGGTGATTTTAGATGGGGGGGGGAAGAAGTGAGCCGGGACGGGACCCGAACTCACGAAATGCGGATCTGTGAGTCGTGAAAATTACCGTGAAGTGAGTGAAAATTACCGCGAAGTTTAATTTTTGAGTGGTTGTTCTTTCAGTTCTAATGTTCTAAGCAGTTAAGGTGAAGGTTTTCATAAGCTTAAGTATTTTGGAGTCTTTAAAAATAGTAAAGATATTAGTTATCTCTTATGTCTGGAGTAGATTTTGTTTCAGTTTTTCACTCTAAGTCTGTTTGGTGGTACTATGACTACTAGGTTCTTGATTAATGTTGAGTGCAGGAAATTTCTCTTTTTGGTGGAGTATGTATAGGTTCTATTTTTTCTTTGTTTCTAAATCTTCGTTGATAAACTTTACAGCCTCTATAGGAGCTTAGATGGTTTTCTGAACCAAAAATACAAGTGGGTTTTTCTTCTGGTTTTAAAGTCTATGTGTCTGATCTATGACTTTTACCGCATTTGCAGAGAATGTTTTTGAAACAATTGGTTTGTGAATGCCCATACTCCTGATAATTAAAACATTGTGTTGGTCTTTTCTTGTTGTATTTTTCAATGATGAAAATTTAAGTTGTTCATATGTTCATGTTAAAGTTGATCATGTTATTTAGGCTATAGGTTTTTTAACCTGTAGCGTTTCTTTTTAGTTCGAGAAAAAATACTGGGAGTCGGATAATTTCATCGTCCTGTTTCTTAGTGAATTGTTTAACTTTGATGATAAGAAAACATCTTCGTTCGAGATCGTCAAAAATGGCTTATTCTGTTACTGTACTGGGTATGTTTCTTAAAATGACTTTAATGGTAGCTCCTGAAATAATCTAATACGCGTGGATATTTATTGTAACCTTCAACAGTTGCAGTGTAGAGAAAAAAAAGATTTACCCTTCATTTCTGCTTCAAATTCATTTTTACAGTTTTTTCTAGCATTTTATCTATAGATAGCCATTTTGTGTGGCTTTAGACGATAACAATTGGTGGGATAGTTTCTGAATTTTGTGCGTTTTTAGTTCCATATTTTCTGTACTTTTAACGTTCATTTGATCTGCAGTAGCTTTATCTAGAGAGAGAATTTCATATCTGTTGTGTTGTGGAACTTCTGGATTAGATTGTTTTCTTAGAAGACTTACAAGTCTTTGTAGGGGTGATCCACTGATTTTGCGGTATAATTTCTAGAAAGGTATTTTACTGGGGTGTGCTCTTTGCTGTCTGTGCTGGTTTATTAACTGCTGAAGAATTCCCTTGTTACTGGTACCGAGCTGCAGCTTTACAAAGGTTAGGAAATATTCTCTGAAGTTTTCCTTGGATGGCATCTGATCAGATTTTGTTCTGATTTTTTTTTTTTTTTTTTTTTTGTAGAGTCTATCTGCTTCTTCATGTTTTATTCCTGATTCACCAAGCGTATCGTAAAGTGTTCTTTCTGATAATCGGGAAATATTGGAATTCGCAGAAATTTCAGAGTCTGCGTCGCTGTCCATATATTCATCATTCTCAGCATGTCAAGGCATTTCATCCTTGGTTAGAGGCCATGCTAATCTCCTCTGTATCGTTCCAAATTTAGTAGCAGGGTTTTTGTGAGAGTCAATCAGTTGTATGCAGAGTTGGAAGTCACGTGAAGATATAAGGTATTTCTCCTGCCTCCTTAGCATGCCTTCGACTTGTAGTAGTCAGCACACTCGACGAAAATTCGAGACGTCCGTGGTTCGAGTCCCGGCGAGGGCATTGCTCATTTTTCACATCTCCTGCTTTCAAAAAATACCTAATGTCTCTACAAAGGGGCACGCGCCAATAAGGAGACCATGCTGAGAAAGCTTACCTATTGGGTCTTTCATAATCTTAATGCGGTCTTTTGATTTAATTTGGATGGAGATATGTGACTTCGAGAGTCAATACTTAAGCTTTGCTTGAAGGATTTAGCAGTCATTCTTGTTGGACATGTGATGATGATTCTGAAGTTCTCCTTCTGATATTAGCTTGAAATGGGAATTTTTTAAGTATTTGCAGAAGAAATGCATGTAGCCGTAAAATACAGTTGAGATATACATAGAAGTAAATTAAGATGAAAAAAATATATACATTATTTCAATATACGCAGTTTCATTTCATTCTCTAAAAATTCTCGAATACTCAGTTAACTCTTTCCTGTAACCTCAGATAGTCCGAATGTGGGAAGTGATGAAAGTGGGAAGTTCTTATTTGAACTCTTAAGGAATGATTCATAAATTTAAGGAGCAGAGTTGTCGGTGTATCATTGTTAATATTATATTCGCAGCTCTTGAGAGATAAGAACACTGAACGAATCAAATCCTCTAATTTAGTGGAAAACAGGATAAATTGCGTACATAAATAAAGTACCCAGTACAGTCTCAGAAATGAAGCAAGTGACTAAGTGTAATTGTCTTGTCCAATTTTGTCAGTTACTAATGGTCTAGTATGGATATCTTCTCGGAGAATTTCATAATTTAAATTTTTGGCAAAGTTCGTAAAAGAGCTGCTTGCTAAGATATTGAAGAAGAAGAGAAGCTTAAAAGAGCAGCTTGCTAAGGTATTGCTGTTAAATAGCTACTGCACCAATGTTCTGTTTCTATACTTTGCCGTAAAATCATGGGCACCAATGCCTTGTTACTACTTCCTCTTAGGGAGGAAACTAATGCAGAAACAGACAGGTGAAACCGTAATTAACTAAATATCAACTGAGAAACTAAACTCTTAAGAGTTTGCTAATTACCACACTTTTAGTGATCGTATAAGTGAATTTTTAATGCATTGCGTTGTGAAAATGCATCCGGAACCGCGCCGTGAGAGGATCGAATAAACAACATGTAAAATCAATAAATATATAAGAAAAACACATAAAAGATATAAAGAAAACATAAGTAATAGGTTTCCAGATTAAATACCAGTTTATTCAAATTCCTCACAATTAAAATTAAATCTTATCCTAATCGGAGAGTCAAATTTCTTATTTTTGTTACAGTTTCAATTTGCTTATTTTTAGACACAGGGAATTCTTCAATTTGTCATTTACTTTTTTTACATTTAAATTCATGATTTGCAAATCTATTACATGACTCTTTTAATTTAACGGGTATCCGTTCTATAATTTCTAAGAGGTTAAAGAAAACATATTATTTGCAATTCACATCTGTTCTAAGGAAGATTACACAAACAACTTAAATTATTACATCCTAATTCATATAAAGACCTTAAGGTTTGTCTCGGTCAATTAAGAAGGGGAAAAAGGGAAGACAATTTTCAGTTTCAGTAGACTTAATTTAAGATTCAATTTTAGGTAAAGTTCCAATTTCCAAAAGTTCTAAGGAAAATTTATAACAAAGCACTTATCTGTGTTTTTGACGACTTGAAACGCACCCGGAAAGGTATCTGGGCTGGCCTTGCATTCTGGGAGAAAATTCAAAGGGATTATAGAAGTCCACCATAATTCCTGGAAAATTTCATTCCGTAAGGGGTACACAGGCGTCTAAGGAGTCTCACGCTTTTCGGTGTCACTGGCCGCAATTCCGGATAATACAGATTCCATGATTTTTCAGCCTCACAATCCGCTCGCTCAGCATCTCCGAAAACAAGCCCTAGAAACAGCACCCGAGCAGAATATTCAAGCTCGCAGTCAGGATGTCGAGTATCAAATCTCACGTTGGCGGGGTGGAACTTGGTCAATAATTTTGGAAATTAATACTCGCTGGAGAGAAAAAAAAAACTTCATACTCGCTGGATCATTTTTTTTTCTTTTCGACAGCAAGGCGACGGCCGGATAGTGTCCGTCGTGATCCGCCTGACTCACCACTTATTCATCCACAGAAACTTAACAAATCCTTCAGTCTTGGAAAGTCCGGCAAAAAAAGTCTTAATCCTGAAAGTCTTAAATCCTTCAACAAAACTAGTCCAAAGTCGGGCAAAAAGTAACGTCCCAAAAGTCTTTAAATCTCTCCAGCAGAACTCGTACACTTATCAATTTCGCCTCTTAGCCAAAATCGCGGCCGGGGAGCATATTTGCCGCTCCCCGCCGGGAAAAACATCTCTCTTCGTAAATTACATCTTTTTCTATTGCTTTCAACCCAAGCAAGTTTCAAGAGTAACGTCTCAAAAGTAAGTTCAGCAAGCAAGTCTCGCCAAGTCTCGCACGAAAAGTGATTCAAACTCGAATTTTCTTCCTCTCCTCCACAAACGCAGGGCTCCCACTATGGCTTCAATTATCGCCCCCTTAATTTGGGCAAAATTTGCGTTTCAACCCCTGAATGCGGAAATAAGGGTGATCGCGCATGCGCGCCCCTCTTCACTTAGCCAACAACCGGACCTTCCGATCGCCAAAACCTGAATGACTTACATCGAAGGTTAAGTGGCAACCTCTGACCCTTCTGTCACGTACTTCCTGTCCTAAGGTCAACTGCACAATGAAATTTCTTCTAGAACATTCTAAAGGACAAAGCGCGCGAAATCATGACTTAGCAAAATTGCCTCCCTTTCCCTGCTTCTTTTCACAATGAATCAAATCTTGTACAAAAATTGCAAATAAAAGAAAAATAAATAATATTCTTTTAAACTAAATAATATTCCCAGAAGCATCTGCTTTTCCCCAAAATTAAAGCATTAAAATAAATAATTCAGAATCAAATAAAATTAAGATTTCCTTAAATCAGAAAATCATTCACCTAGTTTTTATAACGCGATCAGACAAATTCTCTACACAACATTGCTAAGGTATAGAAGTTTTTGTTAATTTTGTTGAGGTTTAAAAGCTGCCCCCATGATGATTCTCAGAAACTTATTTTGGATAACGTGTAGTTGCTTAATATCGTTTCAGGTGCGATTTACCCATGCAGGCGAGGCGTAAGTGAAAATGGGCCCCTAATGATGGAGGTTTAGATTCGACTTTTCCCGATCATGTTTATGCTGAAAGGATCTAGTTAAGCTTGAAGATAATATTGAAGGTTTTGCCTTGCTTAATATGATTTTTCCAGTTAAAGGAGCTATTTAGGGTGACTCCGTGGTATTTTGCTGTGGAGAAAGAGGAACTTGTGAGGCAAAAATATTGACATCATTTGTGATTTGTTTTTAGTTTCCTGAAATTTCTTATGAGCAAAAACTTCAAATTTATCCGAACTGATTTTGGTTTTCTACTTGCAGCACCAATTTTCGATGACAGGTATCTTGTTTTGCAGTCTCTTGATAGCATGACTTGGGTTTCGGGGTTTTGCCAGAACTACCGTATAATCAGCATAGTATACACATACTGTGGTATGATCTTCACTAAATTTAGGAAAATTGCTTACGAAAATTATGTAAATAATCAGGCCTAGGCTTTAATCTGAGTGGGTGTGAAGAATTTATCTCCTTATCTAATCACAAAAATCACAAATCTATTTTCCAAGAAGAATTTAATAAGAAACTGATTTGACGGAGAAGATTTATCTTGATTAACTTGAAAATAAGCCTCACATGCCAAACGGTGTCGAAAGCTTTAGAGACATGAGGATAGCCACTCTTAGCTACATGTGAATAGCCCATAAAATGTATTCACATACTCTTAAAAGCTGTTTAGGGGTAGATAACGTTTTCCGAAATCATTCTGCACATCCGAAATATCTTGTAGGTAGGGCTTCATTCTGTTGCAAATAGTAATTCATTCTAATAGCTTTCCAAGCATAGATATGAGACTAATTGGTCTGCTGCTGCTGGGAGAATCGGGCGGCTTGAGAGGCTTTACAATCAGGAAAATTGATGCTTGATTCCAGGCGTCCGTAAAATGCGAATTTCATAGACATGAATTAAAAAGCTATCTAGTCATTAGACAGTGTTGTTTAGCAGTATGTTTGTAATTTGATCTAACCCTGGGATTTCCTGAACGATGAGGCCTTGATAATATGACTATTTCAGCAAGAGGGTGCATTTACCGATATTTCTGGGGTACGGGGAGTTAAGACAGAAATTTACTGAGTCAATAGTTTCTTTATCCTTATCCTTGTTAGACAGAAATAAAGCTGACAGTGCATTTTAAGATATTCGGAGAAACCATCAGCTCACTCCTAGTTCGTATAGGCCATGTTGTTGTGACTTCTGATTGGTTTGCTATACGGTCTGTTCGTTTTAATTTTCGTAAGGTATTCTAGAAATAACCACCTTCGAAATTGACATTATCAATCCTGTGTTGCCAGATGTCTGATTTACGCTTGCTAATGACAGTTTTAATTCTGTTGAATCTGTTAATTTGGGGCTTCTTATCAGCATCCCAAGTCCGATTAAAGTATTCCTTAGCCTGGTCCTTTCCTGGATAAGGTGCCTGAAGTGAGAGGAATGTTTCCCATGATAGTGAAGCTGTTATTTCCCTAGATATATAGGGAAACGTAATATCACTTGTAGGTCTCAGGCTGTTAATATTTAATGTTAAGCATGTCATATCATTAACATATCACTTGTTAGTCTCAGGATGTTAATATTTAATGGAGTGGTGCAAGCTAAATTCTAAAATAGACCCCAATCGGTTAATTTATTTGAGCAGATAATATTTCGGCTTAGTGACACTTAACTGATTGAGCTATTATTGGTACACGGTTGGATGAAAGAT